GATGGGGGTCGAGCTCCTTTCCTCCTTGGTTCAGATAGTTGATGACTCTACCCCAGAGAGAGATGGTCTTGATCATGTGAGCGGCAACGCCCATGTTCTCTTTCGCATCGGCCATTTGACCATCCTCAGCAGACACGGGATGAGGGACCTTGCCCTTGAGGGTTTCCGTCGGGGCTGGCATATCGAGCTGGAAGTATTTTTCTTTGATCGGCAGCGGAATTTCAATCGTCTCTTCCCTCACAAAGGTAGGTCGTTCGGTACCGGAGGAGTTGAACCGGTCCATGAGAAAGCATGCCCACATTGTCCGGCGCCGGATCTCGCGGTCGATGAAACTCAGCTGCGATGCTCCGCTGCGATTCAGGGGATCGTGGTCCAAGTCTTTGTGAAGTTGTAGAGCAAAGGCCATGCGGATTGCTTGGCCTCCTAAAGCCCAGCTCCTACCGCCATGGCACGTCCCAAACTCGTGAAGGCCGAGGATAAGTAGACACGTCAGGATCGTGATGTTAGGCCACTCATATCGCCTGGTGCAGATGTCCCGGGCATGCGACGCCCACTCCTCGCCACGGAGAAAGTTTGGTGATGAGTTGTTGAGTTTCGGGTGGCTGGAAAAGCGGGCGGCTATCGCGCAAACGGACAGTACGAGTACTGGCGGAAGCGTGCCAGCTCTGCGTGTTCAAGGTCAGCAGTCGAATCATTAGTACATTCTCACGAGAGAAGACATACCTGAGTTTTCTCATGTAGCTGGGCTTGTGGAGCAGGTGGTATGCTTGGCCGTAAATGTTCTCGAAAAATACCTCGGCTAAATGTTCCTGGATTTCCTTGGACGGAAGTGCATCGAGCCCCTCCAGGAAGAGCTTGTTCTCCTCCGCTTCCTGCGCTTGCAACGACAAGTTCTTGTTTGGCGTTTCAATTCTCGTCTTGGCCGGCGCTTTTGCCCAGTGGTCGAGATCCTGACCAAATGCTTCGTCGGCAACTCGCTTCTTGGAGTTGGCTTTAGCTGCGGGGAGTGATCCCGGAATTGCCGGTTTAACCACGGCTCGGGTCAGCGACGCCGCATTGGAGTCTTGTTCGTTTTTCGGCACAATTTTGATGATGCGCTCCTCCATGCGCTTCAGTCGCTTGTCCAACATGGCCATGTAGTCGGTCCTGGGCGCGGCTTTCCTGGTTGTCACCTTGTACACACAGGGAATCCGTGATCGAAGGCAATGCTTGCACGCTGGCTTTTCTCCCGAGCATCGAATCTTTTTACGTCGGCATGCGATGCACGCTAGAGGAAGTCGCTTTCGTTCTTTGCCGGCCTTGGTCTTCAACTCGCTCCATGCGGGCGTCTGGTCTGTCTTGTCGTCCTTGGATTTGCCGCCCAGGTCGGACCCGTTGCCGGCGATTTGCGTAGGTAGGCCAAACTCATCGGCACCGGCATCCTCGAGTGGATTGTGCTCGGCGTGGCCGCTGTCCTGGCTGCCATCTTCCGAGGTAATGATGCTATGGCGGCGCTGGTTCATGGCCTGCGCAAAACCGACAGGCATGACTGTTATTGAGTTTTGGCGGCCACCGATGGAGGAGACGGAGGGGCGATGCGAGGTCGGGAACATGTCGGCAGCGTGATCTGGTTCGCCGAGGAACATCATTGCGCTTTGGTCGTCCAGCGGGTTCGGGGGGAAAGAAAAGTCGTCGGCAAAATGGGAGGCATCGACGACGCTGTGGTTCGCGCTGTTGGACCGCATACCGTCATTTGGGGTTCCAGAGGAGAAGGGTTGGTGGGAGGCTGAGGAAGTGGTTATATGAGAATGAGCGCCGGGCGAGTCGAGAGCGTGGGCATGAGGGTGCTGCTGCGAATATTCGAGACTGACAGCTCTGAGTTGTTGGCTTTGGAGCTGCTGCAGGCTAGATGACATTGTCCTTTGTCATGCACGAATCAAGGGGATGATCAACGGAGAGGCGACAGTGGAAGAAGACGGTGCCGAGCGAGCTGGCAAGCTGGCTCCCCGCACAACGCCGGCGCTGAGGACGGCGTTCGTCCCTGTCCCTGTTTATGCCTTTGGACCGCGGTCACCGGTGTAAGTGTGAGTTGGAGCAGTGGGGGAAGAGGGTCACAGCGGTCGCAAGGAAGAGGCACCAGGCGGCGGAAAGACTCTGTGGTGATGGCTGGTATTGATGTCGAGGCCGAGGAATAATCAATCAGGTCGCGTGCGCACGTCTTGGCTGTCGGTGATGAAGATGTTGTCGTGCCGTCTAGTGTTCTCGAGAGGATAAGAAGGGGAATGTTCCACAAAGCTGGCGACAGTAGCACAAAGTTAAGAAAGAACCGGGACTGGAAGGCTGGAAGGGTGGGCGGGGGGCGGAGAGGAGAAGAGGCGTCCGGTCGAGATTTGTCGGAGAAGAGGAACTCTGACTCGGCCACTCATCGAGCAGCAAATAGAGAACCAAAAAATAAAACAAAAAAAACCTCCTACCAGAGACACAGAGGGGCGCAAGACTGGGTCTAGGTCTAGGTCAAGGTCCAGGTCTACCTAGGTGGTCAAGGGCAAAAAAACCAAACCAAACCAGCGGAGCAGATTTATGATGCTCGCTGCTCAGAGAGGAGAAAGATGGGTGATGGGGAATGTCGCCGGCTTGTTCGTGCAGCAAAAACTGGGGTTGGGGAGGGACGGCCGGGCGGGGAGGGGGAGGGGGGGCGTCGCACAGAGAATGGAAGGATGTAAAGGGGGGGTGTGGTAATCGGCGACCTGTGATTGCTTGGAAGGGCCGCGGATGCACCAATCCAAGTGGGCGCAGCTGTGGAGTTGCAGGTTGCAGGCGTCTACTGCGTAGTCCACTGCCAGGCGCGGGGGGCGTAGGTACACGGCGTGCAGGTGGGAGAAGAGTTGGAGACCTTTTTCTTTTTCCCACACTTCTTCTTGAACTTCTCAGCACCGCTGCACCGCACCTCAACTTGCAGGGGGGGCTCAAGCAATGGGGGATTGGAAGCGTTTTCGGCGGTCAAATTGTGGGGTGCCGTGGGTGCGTGGATGCTTCGCTGGAACACGGCCGGGGGGAGTTAGGCGGGTGACGCTGTGACGGTCGTCGAGGTCACTTGAGATGTGCGTCTGTCGTCTGCGTCTGCTTCTGCGTCCGCTTTTGTTTCTGCTTCTGCTTATAGTTCTGCGTCTACGCCTGCGCTTTCTTTAGTATCTATCCATAAGGTAGGTATGTAGGTATTTGATTTTGCGAAGTGCACACTCAATGCAGCCAAGGTGCTCTCTGTAGGCTCGGTAAGTGCCGCACTCACTCACCTCTGGACTTTCTCTCTCTTACCCTCTTCTAACCTAGGTATTTCGCATGCGATAGTACTTTGGTGGCGTGTTCAACCGAGGCTTTCCCCGTCTGTCCAATTCGCTAGCAAATAAGGTTCTGCTGTTGTTGCTCCTTCTGGAATCTGGTCAGGGGATGTCTCTTGGGCCTGCTGCTTGTTGATGCTGACAGAATGCTCACAGCGGTGCTGACTGTTCCAACAATGGGGTCTCGCTCTCAGGCACGGCCCAAGGAAAGAATAGCGATCCCCGTCGTCCTCCACGGTGGGGCTGTGTGTCTCTCTCTCTCCAGGTTTGAATGTGGGCTCTCTTGCCTCGTCTCGTGATTTCCAGATGAGGGACCAGATGCCTAGAAACCTTATGTACACAATAAGGTAATCCAGCCGCAGACCATGTATCTGCACGAACTCAACCTCTCTCTGGTAACTCCTCTTGTGGCTTGTCGGGCTGCCCAGGTGTCGTTGCTGTGGAATTGCAGAGTGGAGAGGACGGATACTTTGCCATGTACCAGCACTAGAGGCTTGCGGTGGCTGTGGCTTTGACCGTGGGAAGGTTTGTTCCGCCCTTTCACACTGAGACTCAGCGACAAGTGTTGGTTTGGATCAAGTCGCAAAGGCGAGCTAGCATAACCGAGAACAACAAACTGCAAAAGTGTGACGTGTGCAAAGATGTGCGGGCGATGCCTCCAAAATCTGCCAAGCTTTTCAAGCGCGCAGGAGATATCCGTCATGCCGTACAGAGTAGACGAGGTATCAGTACTCGTCCCAACCCAATTGAGAGTGGGCGTGGGGCTTTATAAAAATCGTTCGAGGTTCGGATAGAGAGGCTGCATAAACAGACATGAACACAAAGTCGGAGCCAACTCCATCGAAATACAACGTATCTAAGATGGTACAAACATCATACCGCCAGAACTGAGCTTCACTTACAAACCACACATCACCTACACTGCCAGCTTCAACAAGCCCAGTCCCTGCAACCCGACTCAGGTGTCTCATATCTTCATATGCCTGTATGGAAAGAGGAGGGTTTGGAAGCTCCGGGAGGGTGAACAGGACAAAAGTGGGAGATAGCCCGAGGTTCCATATCGAGGTCGGACTTTTTTTGACAGATATGAAGGGCGCACGGCAACAAAAAAAAAAGAAAGACACAACCCAGCTTGTCTCTTCCATAGTAAAAACACACCCACCAATATGGTGATACCTGAGAAATAGACTTCCACCGTCAAGTCCCTGAAGTCGGCCTGGACGTTACATTCAGCGGCCCAACGACAAACATGTCTGGTTGTATGATCGATACCACGATTCACTGTAGCCAACCAACGCATCGATCGCAGTCCATTTGACTCAACGTCCACGGCAAGAGACAGTTGATATCATTGAGCTGTTTGCGATCCTCGTAAGCACACTTGTCGGACCGCGTTCGGTCAGCAGCCAATCCTCCATTCGCCCTCTTCGGCCATGAACAGACCCAAATTGATCCTCGCGTCTCTACGACCCGTCTTCGATGGTTGGGTTCTCGCCGACTCTGGTCTAGCACTCTAGATAGCTAGCTAGGGCTGCCCTTGAATTTTGGTGGTGACCGCTGCAGATGAAAGGTTCTCCAGTGCCATCCCAGCCCAAGACCCACGATGGCAGTGCGAACAGATGTGGATGCCTTCACCATCACAAAGTGGGTGGGAGCCGGGGGGCACTGGGCATCCACGCCAGAATGTGGACCAAGAAGTCGAAGGGGTGGCCATGGGGCATGCGCCTAATCAGGGATGAATCGGGGGGATCAAGTGGGAGAGCCGGAAGCCTAGTGGATCCGCAACCAGAGGCAACTTCCGAGACTCTCCCGGTGCGAGTGGGTACCTATGCGCCGTGCCCAGACTAAAATACTTTTGTACGAGGATGCCATGATATTCTGGTGAGCCGTTGACATTGACCAATTTCTGTCGAGTCTGTAAAGACATGGGTATCGAATTAAAGCCAGAGAGACCGAGTTCGACTGTGCGCTTCTCCGTGGTGTGGCATATGTTGTTGAGGCGCGGGCGGGGAATAAGCGTTCCGGGTGCCAAACGTGTGTACATAGAACCCAGAGGTCCGCCGTTGCATTTGGTGGCATGCCGTGGTCTATCCAGACATATTCTTGGCCATCGGTTCGGTATGAGTACTACAGCCGCATTCCAGCAGCGAGCTAGAAAGAACACCAACGTTTGGCGAAGAAACGGGATAGGGACTCGCCGTTCTATGAATGGTGCATCGACGATATCGCAAACACCATCCCATCCTAGGAGGCAATAGCAGGTGATCTTGCGGCCATGTGTGTTCGCCGCAGAGAGGCATTCCGAGAGGCATCATGAAAGGTGGTTGGCCGCCTGCGGCTGATCCCCTGTAACCCTACTACGGTGCTACCGTGTTTGGCGCCTCAGATATGTGGTGGAATCTCATCCTCATCACGTCAGTGTCTACGGAGTACTGCGTACACCGTTGCTTGTGTTGCATCTCAGCAAAGTGCCAAAGAAGGCCGCCGTCAACCTGCCATGGCCTACCTGGTCGGCCGTGGGTTCCACCAGGAACGGCCACAGCAGGGCGGCAGCGGCCAAGGGACCCCGGAGACGGACCAGGAGCCAGCACTGCAAGCCTGCATCGGTTTGGCCTTGATCCGTGTTTGTTCCGGCTGGCCCAGACCACCCTGCAGCCCTGGTGCCTCGCCTGCTGCAGATTCACAGTCAAGTGTGGTGGATTCTCGTCGACGACGACCGGATCTGTACGGGATGGCGCCCCGATTGCGACCCCTGTAGCCAGTACTTCTTGTTTGGACAAGACTTGAATTGAACTCAGACAATACCTGGCGAAGGGGGGAAAAGTACGAAGCCTCTAAAGAGCCACTAGCTCGGGTTTCAGCGGCGCCAACGGAATGGGGCGTACGGATAGGCGTCGGTAGGCGCGCAGGCATATCATCTTGAGCTGGTTGTTTGGTTTGGCCGAAGTTGGATCGTGGGGACTACCTAGCACATTGAGGCACATTGCGACCTCGAAGCGTAGCATCTGAGAAACCCCGTACATGATTGCTTGATTCTTCTTGGGGACGTGTGGATTCGAATCCAGCATTGCTGAGATTGAACATCTAAATTCGAGATGGAACCCAAGGGTGATCTTCCTGAGGGCCGGGGGGGTTCAGGTGGTGTAGAGGACGTCATTCGGCCAAATCAGGGATGGGGTAGCTTCAGGCCCTCCTAAAGCGCTGTGTATGGTCACGAAGGGTCGGTGTTGCCAGCAGGTTGAGATTTGAATCTCCGATAAGGGCAGCTGCAAGAAAGAACAGAAGTCCTGATGGCTAATGGCTGAAGTCTGAAGGTTGTCTGAGGTCTGAAGAACGGCTTGGTCCTGAGCCAACGAGGGTGAGGATGAGGCGGACCGATTTCATCAGAGTAGCGGATCGTCTGGAGCGGTCGAAATTCGGGGTTGACAAGACAAGTTGGAGAAGAGGACCGGATGGGGATGGAGCAGGTAGATCGTGATAATATCTGAGCGTTGATAGGAGGGAGGGATTTTGGTGGAGGTCTGTGAGGGTTGGGGTGTCTGTGTTTGTCTGTCACTCTGTCTGCACGACAGCGACGAAGTGGTGGGAGTGGAAGTGGGAGCGGGAGTGTGGAGGGCAGACGCTAGCAGAGCAGGGCAGACCTGAGCCCAATTGGAAGGACCCACCGTACCTTGGCTATACCGCAGTATGTTCCCTTCTACCTTAGGAGGTCGTGTACCGACCCCCTTCGCCATCTTGTTTTGGGAAGAGGACGATGTGGCTGGCACGGCTGGTAGTCGAAACGCAATAGACGATTTGCACATTGAGGCAATGGGGAGGGTACGGAGTACTGGGGCTTGATTATTGTTGCTGATGTAAGAGACGCCATGTGGAGAGTCAGAGGCGTGTCTAACTCTGCGGATTCGCGACCGCAGTCTAAGAAGTAAGGTACCACGGCACTGCGGCACCTGAGCTTTACTTGGAGAAGGTCTGGCCTGGGCTGTGAGGGTGGCGATTGAAGGGTGTCTAGACTTGGGATTCCAAGCGTAAGGTAGGTAGCTTGCCCGCATTGTTATTGTTTCGCGTGGAAAGCACGAAGGTGGAAGGGTCCTGGCAACACAAAGAAGACGGCGTGGATGGGATGGGAATTCGAGCCACACATGCCAAGATGACAATTCTGAGACCTCCACGTTCAGGAGTCCCGGGAAACAGGTCAACAAGTCAGGAACAGGCCCAGACTCAAAGCCTAGCAAAAGTCCTTGGCACTCATCACGTTTCTTTGATCTCTTCATCTCAGAGTTCAACCACATCTGGAATCCGCATGACCCTTCCATTCATCTATCCAGGTCAACATTCAAAACGGGACTGTAGCCTGTAGGTCGATGGTTTCCCAAGCTCTTCATTTGCAAAGCTCCACGATACCGCGGCAGACTAGCAGTGCTGTATCGCTACACTACATGGCTACCTACTAGGATTCCGGTATCCACAGGTCCTGAAGATCACTGCGGATAACAAGGTGCCGCAGAACATTACTCCATACACTGACATGAATTTTTCAAGCCACACGATCAGTGAATGATCAACAGCGACGTATCTGGAGATGGCTACCTCACATTTGAGCCCTGGCTTGTGCTTTGTGCCTTGACCCCAGCAGAAGCCACTTGCTGTACTACGGAACTCATCCCGGTGAGTGAAGGTTCGTGGCTCGGGGACCAATCCGGGCTCTATCACCAGACAAGGTAAAGGGTCTCGAGCTACAGCTTAACGGCGCAATTACGTGACGCTGCCAGACTACCTTAGCCAACCGTGCAAGCCGTCAAGCCATCAAAACCCTGAGCTATTCTATTCTATTCAGTCAAATGACATAGCTTTGCGGTCGTAGAAGCTCCGAATTGATAGGAAGGAAATTCCGCATTGACATTCCGTATCATCGGCGATAGGGTTTAATTGGAGTGGAGGGCTTGTGCTGGAGTCGTCACGAGAACGGAAGTATTGGTATCCGTTGACGTTGGACGATTCTCCAATACCTTACGGTACGTTCCTGGGTCTCGCAAACTGACATTTCGCATTGTCCTGAATGTCGGCCAAATATCAGAAATCGTTCGACTTTCATTGCACAAGGTAGACTAGCACTCGGGGCAGGCATAACCAATACCACCCCCCATTCGACGGTCGATGATTGACCAGTGCGTAGGACAAGGGGCTGCAGCAAGATCGAAACAGAGCACGCTTAATTCCCCCACAACGAAGTACCTGCTTAGAAAGTATTACCTCAGGCACTAAGGGACCGAACCCAGACGAAAGGTATCTTGATTTACAGACTTCCAAGTGTACTCCATACGTGCTTGACATCTCAGATAAAGGTACTTGGCTACGTATAGAGAACCCGTAGAGGGAAAGAGTACCAGTACCTGACAGAGATGATGTTCGTATCCGCTTCAACAAGTCCATCTCGCCTTTGCAATAGTTCCAAGGTCGGGGCTTCCTCTTCAGATCCTCATAGAAGTCTTGAAAATTAATGAACGTCGACGCTTTCGCCGTCGGACTTCAAAGCAGTATGACCCCTATCAGGCACCTTGGAGGCTTTTCTCTCCTCACTATTGATGCATCTCATGCCTTGGGACAGCTTGTGTCTGGATGTTCTGACTCTGCTACTACTGCATTTACATTCCGACCTTCTAGGTCCGCTAAAACAACGCGGTTCACCTTTCCCCAGCTCCGGCTTGTGGAATTCCGACCTGGAAATGAATGATGTTAGCAGCTGGAGGAAAACCTCGTTCCACAATTCCTGCCTTAGTGTGCACCGGCTTCAGATGAGCTGCATTCACATGGCGACTTCCCTACGTGCGTGCGTGCTACCTTTCTACCTTACACTACTTGCCCCCCTCCGTGCCCCTCCAACCTCAACCTAAACTACGCCGCATCTTGGGCTGCAAGATCATCATCGCCCAGCGTCAACGACTCGTCTACCGGCTTTTCTCCACATCAGCCTCCTGAACATCTCTCCTTTCATCGACTGTAGTCCGACTTCTCCCTCTCAGCCCCGCTCCGGTTTGCTTTGACCGACGACGAAAATCGATGTTGTCTTCCTCTCCGGGGACTACATTCCAGGTACAGGGACGAGCAAAACCTCCCATGATGTTGGCGACTACATCCCTGGCGCAGCCCCTGAACGACAATCGAGCTTGCCCTTGACGCCGTCTTGGATCGACTTGTCGAGAAGAGTTTGACACGCCGCCAGCCAGACCATCAAAATGTCAGTCGCAACAGGAGTGGGAACCGCCGTTGACACGCCACGCCACGCCTACCTATTCTTAACTTCGTTCTAAGTCCCCTTCGAGAAAGGCCAACTTCAGATGAGAGCTGGAGCCCCAATCATGCCCTTCCACCACCGAGAGCTTCCTGGGATCGACACATTCTCAACCTCATCAGCGTCGAGGCGGCACAACTACACTGGGATTGCCCCCAGAGTTGCTCCGGTTTCATACCCACCCTCCGTGCTCGAGACCTGCCTTAACGCTACTGTGTTAAGCCTTCCATCCCTCCCCGGAACCCCCTGACGACTTCCATGGTTGACTTCTTCGTCCTCATCCCGGCGATGACGACTTGCTGATGCGGCCTGTCTCGAGAAATCGCGCCGCCCAGGCGGTGCAGCTGAGACCTCTGGATTCCGCCAGATGCCAGCTACTTGATGCCAGCAAACGGTATAGATTAGACGGAACAGAGTTAAACGAGACAGTGTATCCCAGGCAAGTACGCGACCTCTTCTCGTTCTTATTCCGTCGTGCTAATGTATCATCACCGATACTAGCGCTCCCGGCGCCAATCACATCATCCTTACAAGCCGGATTGTCGAACTTCAGAGCCACGACAATCTGCCCAAGATTGAACAACATTTGTCGACCAGAAGAGCCAACTACGAAGATGCTGTCGTAGGGTTCTCGCAAGCTCTGACAGGATTGTCCGGGTGGACGACAAGCCCCATGCTTGCTCACCTGTCACCGTCGTCCGTCATCTCGGAGGGCTGACGGCGACAAACTCTCGTCAACGTCGCATCCACAGGCATTACAACCTTGCTCTGGCTCTCCCAAGCTGCCAACCATTACAGATACAGGCTGAACCATGGCGGTACTCTTCTACGGAGTACTTCTCGACTGTAGCATACCGACAACTCATCAGGTCAACAATCTTCCGACACTACGAGTGGTTTTTACTTGGCGTGTTCGTGTTCCATCTGCCCGTACCCCCTCCTTCGAGGTGACAGTGTTGATTTCATCAAAAGGAATAGGCACGTACCTCGAAGCTTTCCTCGCAAATCTCATCTCGTTGTGTAGTGTACGGCAACATTGCACACATCCCCCGCGCGCCCCAGTCTCTGTCTTTCCCCGACCGCCCTGCTCCTTGTCGATGCTTGGGTAAATACATGACTGGCTATGCAACCTGCGTGCTGTCGGCGAGAAATACTCATCAATCAAGGATGCCACGGCCTGTGTGGTCACATATGGATCGAGCGATGTACGTCTACTGTGTACATGCAAGCCCGTTCTTCTCCACGAACCCCCGCCGGATGATCTCCATCGCCTCCCCCCTTCCTGACACCTCGCAAAGGGACAATCATCAAACCCTTGCCATGCTTATCCGTGATACCTAGGTACTAGCAGCTATGGCTGGCCAGACTTTTTTTTCTTTTTCCTTTTCACGCCATGGTGGACCCTTTGCCGTTACTGATGAACCCTGTTCCTCAGTAGCGACGCAGCGCAACCAAGCATCCGCGTAGCCGATGAAGGATTTCGAGCTGTATTAGCCTGTGAGTGGACAAGCTTTAAAAGGACGATAGTTATGAACGTGCCGACGAAAACCAGGTTGGCGCATTCTTCCGAGAGACTACTACGGCACGCGAGGAACCAAGCGTGGTGTGTTGATATGTGTAACACGGACCGATATGCTTAGATTTCGGAACAAGATACCACGGAGTGCGCACGCGGCTGCTTCATGGTCGCCAAAAGGGGTCGGCGTGTGCCACGTACGCCTTCGCGAACTTACGCTTCGGGTCACATCGCGACTTTAGACGGACTTGAGCCGAGCGTACCGTAGAAGGAGAAAAACTGCTCAGGCGTAACGTAACACGTATATCTCACGGAACGATGCAGCTGTCAAACACGAGGATGAAGCAGGTTGTTTGGCTCGGAGGAGACGTGTTTGGGGTCGATCAGCCAAGTATACGCCTCGCAAGAGACACACCGAGTTGAGGCAGGGAGAATCTTTACGAGTCCCGTTGGCTTACACAGAAGACAGTGGGAGGAGACGAATAGGAAGCACAAAGGGCCTTGCAGCACTCACTTATGGTTGGGCAATCTGTCGCTAAGGTCCTATTGGTTATAGGTGTTTTTTTAGGCGACCGTTGCACACAGTCTACGCAGTACGATCCCGCCTGATATTTGACTTTGGAAGACGGGACGATCTCAGCTCCGGAGACCAAATGTGGTCCCCGACGGACAACATGTTCAGGGCCGCATCCTGTCAGACTCTGAGCAGCGACATTGACCACGTCCGTACTGGAGGAGCAAACGACGCGTAGGGACGTCGGGGTGATTATGTTTTCCTACGATGTATGTCGTCGGCGACGGAACCCGAAAGGAACTGTCTCCCATGAGACCTCGTTAGCGTCCACGTTGTTCGGTCATACGCACCTAGACGGGGCGAAGTCTGAAGAGCACAGATTCGGAAGGGTAAGAAGCTCCAAAGATGCCTTTGAATCTTGACAATGAGGCCCCAGCTGGCCTTACTAAGTCCTTAGCGATGATCCCAAACGGTCTTCGTCCCGGAGCCAGATAATCAAGATACCTTGCAGGCTTACATGACCTAGAAAACAGTCAGTTGCCATTGGTTTTCCTCGGCTCGCCCTACCAGTAGACGCAATACAACGAATGCAATGGCACTAACGGCGCATGTTCTCGGCGCAATCTGGAGTGTTCAAGCGTGCACCTGCCGCCCGGTGATCCGGCCACCCGACGGAAGAATCCACTCTTCACCCTTATTACTGGCGAATTATCATCACGGCTCCCTGTCGGCACCGTGCCTTTCCTTTACCTGCCTAGGTGGGCGCCTTAGCTAACCGTGAGGTAAGGATACAGGTAAGGATATGCGACGTTTCGATACCAGCCTGGGAAACAGACTTTTGCTGCACGCCCCCCTTTCCTTCATTACTGTGGCATGTACCGCCGTATATCCCACCCCTCCCGGGGATATTCTCCACTCTCTCTTCGTCCAAGTCCCTGTCATTCCCATTTTTCTCCCGCGCAAGCCCCCCCGTCACTCAATCCCAGCGGACCCACCTCCGTCCGCACGTCCAAAGATACGACTGGCTCTTCACATCAACGCCACAACCACGGCCCTACGCCTCGATCTGCACTACTAACGATGAGAGACAAGGCTCCGAATCCCTCCTTGCAGCTCGGGCTGGTGGGCTGAAGGAAGGGGTTGACAGGCGTGACAGGCTTCGGAGGGAGGCGGAGACGAAGCAAGGCGACTGGGCCTTCAAGTCTCGGATTCTCAAAAGATGGACGCCAGGCCACCAGCTTTGACTCTACAGCCTTGTCCACAGCCGCAGCCCTTCGGTCTTGCATCCGAAGAGGGCTAGCAAAGATCGCCCGGAGGATGAATTAAGATGATGTTCAAAATCGCTGTGAGACTAGTCAGGACCAGGAGGGCTTGTTGCTAATTTTTGAACAGAACGCCTTTCTTTCTTCCCTTTCCATCCGCCATCTTGCCTTTCTCCTTCGGGAAATGAACGTCTCACGCGCTTCGAGAGGTGCAGGCATACAGATACAGATAGACGACGCTCAGACGCGTTCTCTCCCGTATCCGTACATCCTTCTTCATCTCTCTCTGCTCTCATACCGCGGAGACGCCGTTAGATGTACCCGATGTACTAGGCTCGGAACGCAGGGCCTTGGGGCCGCGCCAGCCTATGGAAGGCCTCATCTCATCATTACGAGCTGGGTCCGAGGGAGGCGGCGCAACGTTTTCCCCCTCATGGACCATACCGGTATTGATATAGCATCCATCGAGGAGACCTTTCGCGTCTGCCCTGCCCAAGCGGCAGCATGGATCCCCCCGAGATCCTGCCCGCGTAACGGTTGTCCCTCATCGGCCCGTCTGCAACTTCATCTCGAGACCCGTCGACCCGTCTTCGCAGGGATTCTGTTTGTCAAAGAGACGAGCTCGATGTCTTCGGAGAGAGCGAGTGCTCGTATTTTCCGGTTCCTATGTAGAGAGGCCACCAGTCCAGGAGGTTTTCTGAACAGGATCTCTTGCGGGAAAGCCAATGACGAGACAAGACGATTCGATCCGGCCCCTTAATGCTCGCTCCGTTTTGACGTGCTCGTCCACGTCATTCCAAACAAATCAGATTCCGAGAGATGCCCGTTGTTTCTAGAGACAGGAATAGAGTCATCGGCGCAGAGGTTCGCTTCTCTGGGTCCTCCAATGGCAGGATGAGGCGGGCCTCTCTCTCCTCCCTCATCTGACCTCGTCGTTGCTCTATCGACGGTGGAGGCATCGCATCCGAGTCGTGGTTCCTACCCCTCCACCACCATCAACCTGTACATCTCATCTTTCAAGTACGGTAGTCAGGAATAGAAGCGGGAACATCGGCCGTTCCGTTTCGTGAGGTTGAGGAGGGGAGGGGAGTGTGGCATAGCCTCCTCGCAGCATCCAACTTCACCGATGAAAAGAATATTGGCCATGACGTTGTAAAACATAGTTACACACCACCACGGATCCTAAGATCTGGGTATCCCATCGCGGGATCTAAGGTAGAGTTTAAGAATAGAAAGAAAAAAACTCCATTCGGTCATCCCGTCTTCCCGATCCAGGCTCCTGGGACACAAACTTCTGGGACGCGACAAACTTCTCTGAGACTAAAGGGAGAAAGAAGGTATCCAATCGTGGAGCGTAGTCTATGGTGAGAGGTGAATGCTTGATACACGCGAGCGCCTTGCACCCTTCACGAGCCTGTCTTTTGCGTGAGGGGGCTTGTAATAGGCGATGCTATAGATATTCGACTCTCATTATTCCCTACTTCCTATCGAAACCTCGTTTACCTCCTAGGTGTGAGATGTGTTCAGCCCAAGGCGAGAGGGATGTGAGCTTCGTTCGGTGCTCCTTCGGGATGGGCCACGTCTGCGTTTGTCGACACCATGCTTGCCGGTATCGAAGCCGTCTAGAAGCTACCCGGGGATCTGGTTCGCTAGTCCATCCAAAAGGCGGACGAGAATAGTAAACAAGACTTGGTCCATGTCCCCTTTCTTCCCGTCCCGAAGCTTTCTCACGCTCACTCACGCTCACTCACGCTTCACCTCCCTCCCCCTTTTCCCCGGGAACGTAATCAAGAGGCCGTGAGAAGCTCATTCATCCCGGACCGTGAATAGAATCAAGTCATGAGATGCTCAACATCACCACTCAACACGGGAAGAGCACCATCCATACCCTTCCCACCCCCCCTTTTCCCTCGTCATGGAGGTTTCATGAGACTATGTCCATGTGCCCTCCTCCCTCGGAGACATTTCGGGGATCAATACCAAAAGACAACGGTAAAGAGATACGGGAGAAGGAGAAGAAGAAGAAGGGTGTAAAGGATACACAAGCATATCATCCCCGTCAAGCCGGGCATGTCCGATTCGGACCTATTCTCGTCTCCCTATCCGTGTCCATCCAAGCAATCGTACGTCAACATTGGCATCAACATCACGACGCATACCCCAATCTCCCAGGACAACCCGTCGTATACCACGGCCGAGTTCAGGATCCATCCTCCCCTCTCTCCTCCCTTTCCTCGTTCCTACTTCTTCATCTCACTCCACGTCCACTCTCCTCCCACTTCCCTCGCAACCCCCTGCCCTCTACATCACCCAAGGAACATTCTCTTCACCACAACCTCAAGAAACAAGATTACAAAGACGACGCGGCGACAATAACCAGACGAGGTCCAATATCGCAAGTGACAGTATAGATCAAGACCCCCCCAAAAAAACAACACCCACCATGTTCACCCCTTTCCTCCTCGCCCAAAACCTCACCTTCCCTTGCCTTCCCCAAGTCTTCCCTGGCCATTCACATCGATCCCCTCCATGGCATCCTACCCATACGCACACCCCTTCATCTCCAAGGATGAAGCTTCACCAACATACTCTCCCTCATACCTTCCCTCGATCACCTACCATACACACAGACAGACAGACGCGTAGATAGATGAAATCCACTGGCGTAACTGAACCCCCTCCCGTACCTCCTCCCGCACGCAACATCACACGGGAAAAAGGGTCGGAGAAAAAAAAAAGCTCTGCTCACATCCACAACTTTCCTCATTTCATTATCATAAGACACTATAGTTACGGCGGGAGGGACCAGTCACAATATCTCCTTAACCCCTGGATGCCTGCCTCCCGGAAAACCCGTCCAAGTAGACAATGACAACAGCAACGTTGAAATCTCCAAAAACTCCACGTTCCAATGCAATGCTGCTCTAATGCTCCGCTTCTTCTTCCCAACCTGGAATACGACAAACACCAGACACCAGACTTGCCCTCGAGTCTTTCCCCAAAGTGACGCAGTCAACCAACAAACACCCCCCACCCCCCCATCAAGCACCCTCGGCCTTGTCCTTGCCAATATACACCGGAATGCCGTATACACATACCGCGCCAGCCGTGATGTACCTAAATCGACAGGCGTCCCTAGCCCTGGCGACAGCCTCCACGAGCGACGCGTTCCCACGCCCGGTAGCCTTTGTCGTCTCCTTCTTCGCCTTGCTCTTCTTCTCCGTGGCAAATAGTCCCTTGCCCTTGCCCTTCTTCTTCGAGCTGTCCTCAACAAACGTGCCCCTTTCCATCAGTCCCCATTCCTCAAACAACCGGCCCGCATACCGGTCAATGTCCCTATCCGTCACGTCCCACAACGTGCCCACAACGGCGGGACACCCGGCGAGCATGTAGTTCCATACTGGACCGTGGCACTCGTACTCGCCGACGTTCTGCAGGGACGCCGAGCTACACCCCATCAGCAGCGCCGCAGCCTTGCATTTCTCCAGTCTGCGGATCGTCTTGCCTCGAATGTACTGCGCGCCGCTGCCGTGGCCAAAGTAGAGGAGTATGTCAGACTTCTTGAGCGCTCCCTCGAACTCGTCCTCGGTCGGTGTACGCGAGACGATGCCTGTCCAGGACTCGCACAGCTTCTCCTTGAGGGGCTTTTCGAAAGTGGCGAGAGTGTTCTTGAGATCAGAGCCGGGGTTCAGAATGTACGTGCCACCGACAGGTGATACAGTGTGTCGGTGGTGGGCCTTTTCGTCATCAGAATCTCGGGCCTCGCGCTGCTCTAGAAGTAGTCGACGCAGACAGGACAATGAGGGAACGCGAGAATACGCCAGACCCTCCGTGCATGGGAGTGATTCCCAAGGGAAGGCATGGAGAGCCTTGTCGAGGATGAGAATGCTGTGGGCGCCTTCCTCGGGCTCCGAAGTCTTGGCAGCGTTATGGTACGCCTGAAGAGCATCAAACGTATCCAAGACCATGGAGTCAAAGTCAATCTCATCGTAGGCGTTTCTCTCGCCGTGGAACTGAAGAATGTCCACGACAAAGTAGAGAAGATCGTTCAGAGGCTCCTCAAGATCGCTGTCCGGCATAGACGGGTCTCCCAGGCCAACGAAAAGATCGAGGATACGCGGCTCCAAGGTAATCTTGGGGGACTTGCTAGTCTTTTTTCCTCGGACCTGCCTGCGCGAGGGCAGATGCTTATCAAGAATCTTGGAAAAGGCCTTTTGGAACTTGGCGATGAGATCGGCGCGATGACGATGTTGGGAGAAGATGCCCTTGAACCCACCGAGCCAGACCTGCTCGACATTGTCGAGGAGATCCTTGAATCTGCTGTCCAGATTCTCGCGCTGAGCCCACCACGCTGATTTGGCCCCCTTTGCAGTGTAGTCACCAGTGTTGTGGCAACTCGCGTTGGTCGCCTGGATAATATCCATAAGCTCGTCGTGACCATGCTGGAAGTCGAACAGCTCGTCCTCGCCGTCGCGAGAAGCCACACGCTCCAGCGGTAGTCGTAAGACGAAAGGGCTCTGGCCTGATTGTAACTTGGTGATGCACAAATCCTTGCGGTTGTCGCTTAGCGCGATCGACAGGACACTCCACGCTTCAGGAATGATGTCGATGTAGTCACGCTGGAATTTCGCCATATCGTCAACAGTAACAATGCTTGCCCGTCTATCATCCTTTAACGTGAGAGCAAGCGGCCAGCCCGCCTCGCTGAAGCTGGCATTGAGGTGATCCGTGGCTACGGTGTTTCGCTCCCGTTTCCAAGTCAGATTTCGTGCAAACTCGACGGAGCAGGCGGCATATCCAAAGCCTCCCATGTGTTTGGGCGTCCGATGAGAGGCTGCCGATAGGAAAATGCCCGTGCTCTGAAGCAAC